GCAGAGGACCCGGAGCGTGGAACTGCAGTGGCCCTGGATCATGAGACATCGGATGACCTGGAGTACTGTGAAAAGCAGGCAGGACTTCAGGCTTGTGGGGAGCTGGCAGGGCGAGCCGTCTGGGTGGCGCTGGCAGGGCGAGGAGTCTGGATGGGATCGGCAAGGCGAGGAACCGGACTGGGACCGGCAGGGCAAGGAGCTGTGGCCGTTCGGGAAGCATAGGAGGCGGCGGCCCTTCGGGAAGCTCAGGCGGCGTCGACTCTGGCATCGGCGTCGACTCTGGCAGTGGAGTCAACTCTGGCAGCAGCGTCGACTCTGGTTGAGGCGCTAGCTGCGGCGTCGGCTCTGGCTGCCCCGTTGCCAGCGGGTCTTGCTCACTATAGCCCCCCCCCCCCCCCCCCCCCCCCAAAAGATGTTTTGGATTTTCCTCCGCCTCACCTATGGTGAAGGAGGATCCACTCATTTGAAGAGCCAGATCAATATAGTTCACTAAAGTCCATTGGGGTCCGTACAGGGGTATGTTGGAGTAAAGGGGCTCTGAAAGTCCTCCATGAAAGAAAATCATTAAACATACCTCGCTCATTTTAGTGAGATGGGCCAGATTTATAAAGTCCTCTACATACTCTTCGATGGACCGTGCTCCCTGACGCAGGCGAATTATCTGGGTTCCCGCTGGATCCATCTTCGTGTGGCCGAGTCTTCTGTAACGACCGGGGAGGGAGTGACAGATACAACTGGAGTTAAGATCCAATATGCAGGTTTATTCAGCGTCAGGCAAGCAGTGGTCAATACGGGTGCAAACAGGTGTGTGAGGACAATCCAGAATCACAGTCGAATATAGGCTAGAGGTCAGAAAGGCAAGCGGCAGGCAAAGACAAAAAGGCTAACAAGACTAACGGTCGGTACATAAGATAACAAGACTGGGAGAAAAGCATTTTAATGTCACTATGTAGCAAACAAGACTCGGCCAACTGGAAGGGTGAAAGAGTGGCTTATGAATGGTTTGTATCAGTCTCTGACAAGGTTCAGCAGGTGAGTATAATCAAGCTAGATGTGTGAGCATGGGTGTCTGGGAGCAGTGCATGTATGAAAATGTAGTCCAGGAAAAGGCGGAAGTGTAGTCCTGATGTTCGTGTGAGAACCAGCGATCTCTGGAGAGCGATCGCTGGTTGTGTAACAGCTGGGTTCCACACAATTTTTTCATTTTGTCCCAACATAAATTGATGAAGTTAACTTAATCATTTTTACAAATGTAAGTGAATTGAAAATGAAACAATAAAATTGTCCCAAAAAAAGCCCTTAAGAATTTTGTTTAGTAGTTTGAAGAATTAGAAAAAGTCATTTTTTTGCGTGTATTTTTATGTTGTTTTTTTTTGACAGGAAATATTGATATACCTTCATTTTATAAATAAACCATGAACTATAAATCAAATCATGAACTATAATCATGAACTATAAATAAATAGGTGTTTGGGAGGTGAAAATGCTACTAAATTTTACAAAATGTGGATCAAAATTTAAGGCAAAATTATGATTTACCTTTTTTTTTTTTTTTACCTTTTTTACCTTTAACCATGCTTAAAATTGAACCCTGATCCTGCTAAGAAGTGTAAGCTGAATATACAGTTTTGGAAACTTTTCGCTATTTTATAATGTATTATCTACAATTAAGAATTGTAAACCCTACTAAACCCCCTAAAGTACAACTTCAAATCATCTTTATATTTCATACCTACTTTATTTTGTGCATGTAAAATTATGGTTAGGATTTTTATTCTATTTTAAATAGCCAGCAGCTAACTCTCTGAGAGACCTGCAATAGGTCAGTTACTGGATTGTAGACCACATGGGAAGACTAGGTTGCTGCCGGAAGTGGTGTTAGTTAGACCAGCAGGGGGTGCTCAACCTGTCTGTGTGGGTCCTTATGCCCCAGTATATTGATGGGGACTCTATACTGCTCAGTGAGCACTGTCTTTCAGACAAGACATTAAACAGAGGTCCTTATTCTGTGGTCGTTAAAAATCCCAGGATGTCCTTTGAAAAAGAGAGGTTTAACCCCGACATCCTGGCCAACATTTCCCACTGGCCTCTGTCCATCATGGCCTCTTAACCACCCCCATATCATAATTGGCTTCATCACTCTGTCTCCTCTCCCCCAATCAGCTAGTGTGTGGTGTGCAGTCTGGTACAATTTGGCTGTTGCTGTGTCATTCAGGTGGATGCTGGTGGTGGTGGATGATAATATTCCTCCCAAAAATGTGTAAAGCGCTTTAATTTAAGTGCTTTAATTAATTTAAAAGCGAATTATTATTATTATTATTATTATTATTATTATTATTATTATTATTATTATTATTAAATATACAACAGGAGCCTAAAAAAAATCTCGCACCCCTACTCAATATTCAGTTAAAGCAGCAACATCCGGTTCAAGTGTTTAAGAGTTTAACACAACTTAAGGCAATTCTTTTTTTTTTTTTTGACTATATCAAATATCTTGCATTAAATACAATTTTTAAATATGTTTTTTAATTTAATCTAATTTGTACAGTCCACCAAATTAATCAGGTTAAACTTGGCACTCTCAAGGTGCTTCTGGCAGAAATTCACCTCAAACACACTTATGAAGCAGAATCAAATTAAATGAACAGTATGTTTTAAAAATGATTGTCTCTCCTATGGTGCTGAAAGCTGGTGTGAGAGGAGTCAAAAGTTTTACACTCACCCTTTAATGGAGTCTGCACTCAACTGGCAAAACAACCTAACTGTGGAGTCTTCCCTGGAGAACATATCTCAACTGCATCTCTAATGGAAAAATGCATGTTCTTCCTGTTTATTAGAAGCCCAAAGTGACTTAAATGGCTTTTTAAATGAATTTAAACCGAACAGCTGTGGCAGAACCTTTTTTTAGCTCTTGTCTATCAAATTTTTTCCTTGTTAGACCGGCACATAACATTTCCTAAATCCAAACTGCAGGATAAAATCAAAGAAAGTGCTGTAGGAATAAACATTTTGACGGCACACATGCTATATTTAGCTTTCATTTGCACGTGTAAGTACAAAATAAGAAGCGTGAAGAGAACATAAAGCAGTTCATCAATTCAAGTAGTGCAAGGTTCATGCCACATGAGATTTTGGCACAACAGATTTGATGTTTGGTGTTGTGGTTATTTTGTAAATGGCAGTGAATGTTTGAATACAATATTAGATCATTTTATCTCATGATACCCAAGCAAAGCCACATTTGGCACACTTCACAACATCCAAACAGAAGGACTAGGATTTTATTTCCACAATGCGTCCATCACATCTGTGATGTTGCCCAGTAACAGCACACAACCTTCAAGCATGACAATTTATGCAATAAAACAAAAAAGAGGTTTATTTATGGTCTTGTTTCTTGAAACCAGCCACTATTTCATTAGTTTATAGCATTATCCATGGCATTAAAACAGACAATGGCTCCTTGGGAAGACACTTTTAGTCTGTTTCTCAGTGCTATTAGGTAAAAATTAGACTTTTTAGCAAGCTTGATTTCCACACTGCAAAAAAAAATATTTTCTTACTAAGAGGTTTTGTCTTGTTTTTAGTCCATATATCTTTGATTTATATCTTAAATAAAAAAGCATTTTCTAGACGAGCAAAACTGATTGTCTTGTTTTGAGAAATAATGTGTCCAAATTGAGTGAGTTTTTCCTTATAACATGCAAAATAATCTGACAATGGGGTAAGAAAAAATATTTTGTTATTTGATTTAAAACACCATTGGTATATTATTTTGCTTGTTTAGAGTAAAAAAAGAAAATCAGTTTTCCATGTTATTTCTTAAATCAAGACAATGAATTTTGCTTGTCTAGAAAAATGCTTCTTGATTTAAAAAAATTTGTAGATATTTCGACTAGAAACAAGACAAAACCCCTAGGTAAGAAAAGCATTTTTGTAGTGTAGGTGTTTGTTAAAGGCTTGTTGAATTTCTATTACTTTATAGATATGTAGTTTGTCATCCAGTTGTGGATGTTTTTTTTTTTTTTTTTTAATCTATGTTTTCCATTTAAATTTAACAGTGAATTCCCACAACTATAATAAGCAGACTGACAATCTTCTTTGGAAAGTTTATAATCCTTCTATAAACATGCATAATCCTTGGCTTGGTCTGAAGAGCAGGCAACGAACCACCTGTGAAGCATATTAGATTAAACATTCTTTTCAACTTTAATTTGATTTAAATGGCAAGGGAACATGGCAATATGAGATTTATTGCGTCTATACTGTATATGAAAGGAGTGATCCAATAGGATGTCACATTTTAAACATTAATTTACAGTGTAATGTAGATGTGTGAGTATAAACAACATCTTTGACATTTTACTACTTAAAGTTCAATGCAAAAGGATAACTTTTTTACTCAGTTAACATAGCAAAGCCTACAGCAAACACTGTTTGGGGATTGCAATGAAGTGTATCCAGATGAAATGCAAAGGATGCATGGTTACAGTGACGTTGTATTGTAGGATTGTATTGTATATTGCTTGGCCAGAAAGTTTCAGGGATGTTTAAGCAGATTGTTTAAAATATATTGTGTGCATGGTTGAAAAAAAGTATTCTTATTGACTTTAAATGTTAGTGGTAGAGTATGGTAAACTGTACACTACTTAAACCTATGGGTAAACTGTAAATAATATACATTTAAAGTTTCCCAAAATGTGGGAATTATTTAGTTAATTATTTAACTTGTATTATTTAAAAGCTTTGGCAAGCTCTATTTGTTTTCAATATATATTTAAAACAATCATTTTATTGCTAAAAAAAATCATTTTATTGTTAAAATCTGTAATATTGTTAAAAGTCTACCAACTCAAAAGTGAATTTATTGTATTTAGTTTGAGATCATATACTTGAAGTGGTTCATTCCGCTCTGTCGACCCGAGATTAATAAAGGGATTAAGCCGAAAAGAAAATGAATGAATGAATCATATACTTGAGAAATGTAATGTACTCACGCAGAACCATGACTCCATGGCGCATTGACTGGGCACGATTGGGCTCAACAGCAACACTGAGCATGGTAGCATTTCCTCCAATGATACAGACACGGTTGTCCTGGGCAGACTCCCGAAACATGCGCAGCAGCTGACTGGCTATGACTCCATTTAATGCTGAGATCAGTGCCATGGGGACCACAAATGACAGGAAGGCATTCAACTTGAGGAAATACAGAAAATAAAGAGGGATAAGTACACAATGGGCAGACCCTGAACTGCACAATTTTTTTTTTTTTTCATTTGGCAAGACCTATGGAAATATGCATGAAAACAGGAAAGAAGTTGAACTGAGTTTGAATTTCAATTCCCCTGTTATTCTATATTAAAGGTTCCCAAGTTTATCTTGTGCGTCTTCTACAGTTGTTTTTTTATTAATTCAAGGTCAAACATACAATGGTCTTCTAATAAATTGCACTGCAGCATTACCTCTTTTCACAGAGTCTGTAATGTTTTATTAATGTGTCATTCTTTAAAATCTCTCTAATAAAAAAAACATTTTTAGAGAACGCTGCTGTGATTTTTTTTCTTTTTGCCATGTCAACAACATGATACCAACTCATTCAGGCCTCAATAGTTAATACAGAGTTTGAGAGTCAAAGAGACATCGCAAGAAGCAATTTTTGTAAATAGACATGTGGCATGGGTCATTATTTTTATGCACTGTTCCACCTGAATGATAAACTTCTTCTTGACACCTCTTAATAAATCCCCAACACACACCACGTTCACTTGACCGGCATGTACCACGCCACACTTTGAGCTAGACTTTATTGTAGAGATGTAGGGATGAAGGGGGTGATAAGAAAACATTGGGATGACGGGAAAGGGAAGTAAGAGGATAACCAGTGAACAGGTAGGTAGGTTAATCGTGCATCCTACGATTATGCCCAGAGACTCAGAGTGGGGTACCATCCCTGTAATATTTTGGTAGAGTGATTGAACCCCCAATTAAACCTAGGAGTGAAGAGAGGGTTCTAAGATTGTGAATAGGAAACAAGGAAATAAAGGGAGGGAGGGAGGGTGGGTTCGAAAGAACAAGAAGAACAGTGCTAGAGGGCTGGTCTGCCTTGAAAAGTTTTAGGGAATAGGTGATTGGTTAAGGAGACAAAGTGAGGCATGGTTCCGCCACCGAACCTTTGTTAACAAGTCACATAGAGTTAACTCCATATGAATATGAGCACACTTGTACAGCCATTATTGTTGAGACTTTCCATAGATAAAATATTTGGTTTATTTATAAACTAATTTGAGAGGATCACATGCTAATGATTGTTCTCAGCTGTTCCAGCATCAGCTCATGATTGATTATCCAATCAGATGATTTCTAACTCACTATAAATAAAGTCCTGGTTATGTACGTAACCCACGTTCCCTGAATAGGGAACGGAGATATGCGTCTGTATAAACAGACTTTGGGAGTGCTTTAGACGACCAATCACTTCTGAAGATATGAAAACGGGCCAATGAAATGCCAATTGAATTGGCGGAGCTTAGCTCCACAGCTGAAACTAATGAGCCATTTAGGGCTATACTGTATCAGTCACCTGCTGGAGTCAGCTCATCAGAATTTTGCCTGCTGAAGAGCCGATCGCTCAGCTCCCAGCTGGAGACTCAGGTGCTGTAGCAGTGGAGACACACGTCTCCGTACCCTATTCGGGCAATGTGGGTTATGTATGTGACCAGGACGTTCCCCCTCATAAGAGAACTCCTAAGTGTGTCTGTATAAACAGACTTTGGGAGACTGTATGGAAAGCGCCACAGCAGCCAAAGTCTGTCACGCTCCTGTGTAGGAGTACAGTCCTATGTACTGTGTAGTTTGCCAAGCCAAAGCGTGAGCACACTGACATCACCAAGAGCGCAATCTTCCAACGTTCCCTAGGCCCAACATTTTACCATTACATGGGAATAAAATGTTTAATGTTTAATCGGGGGTCGTAAGTGTGCTTTTACCTAGCTAATATAGACTAGGGATTTTTGGAAATACGACGTTGGGAAGTACATTGGGAAAGTGTTAGTCCCCGCGGGGGGAGGACGCAGCAGAGAACACCTGCTACCCGGAAAGGGAAGACCTGATGGTAAAGAGACATATGGACTAGCTCTAATGAGGGGGAGTGCTACATATGAAAAGCTGGTTAGTGGTTTAGGGAAGACACGGGACTGCCTAATAAGCGGGAACACACCGTGGTAATAATGCATATGGCATCACCAAGTGGGTATGCACATAGCTGCCACTGATCCTCAATATGCATGTAGACCAAATGGTCATACCAACTGCACACTGAGCCATGCACTCGACTCCTCTGCTGAGTCAATGCTCCTGGCCTCGGAGGAACTCTCTAGGGTTTGCCTGAGAAGGGAAACTTTCAAGTAGAGTAGAAAAAAAACACACGCATCTCCGGGTTAGGGAGCATGGCACAACAAGCGTTTGTGACACTAAGCTTAATTCCCCCTCTGATTGATTGGGGTTACCCAACACAATCTCACGGCAATTCGTAACTTTTTCATTTAGTGGCTAATTTGTACAAATTCGTACGATCTAATTCGTACATTTTAGTACGATTTGCGTATCCCCCAATGACGGTTGGGTTTAGGGGTGGGGTTAGGTGCCACGCCTCCTTTTTAAAATAGTACATTTTCTTACGACTGAACTCGTACAAATTCGTACGAATTAGCCACTAAACTGCCAAAACGTAAAATACTTAAGTTTTCTCGTGAGATCAGGCTGGGTTACCCAATATCCAGGAGGAAACTGGCTCCACTCGAAGATTATAGAACCTCGCGAATGTGTTAGTTAATCAATGTGAGAATAACCGGGCCCAAATTCAAAAGGACGATTCGCTGACCGAAAATGCCTTAAGATCCCCAACTCTCTTGAATGACACCAATGCGACCAGCAGAGCTGTCTTTAATGACAGAATTTTAAGAGATACTGAATCGAGTGGCTTAAATGGATCTCTCTTCAGACTCGCTAGGACTAAAGAAAGATCCCAAGTGGGTATGAGAGGGGTGCTGGACGGATTTAACCGCCGTGCACCGCTGAGGAATCGGATGATTACATCATGCTTCCTGAGTGGAGATCGCAGTCAAGTAAACCTTCAGTGTGGAGAGTGACAGCCTACGCTCCTGCTTATCCTGAAGGAAGGATAACACAATTCTAATCTGGCACCCAGTTCCGGTTGGGCCAGAGGGGTGCAACAAACAAGACCTGCTCCTCGTCCTGACTTTGCACAAAGTTTGTGCGATTAAGCTCACTGGGGGAAACGCATATTTGAGCATGCCCGATGGCCAGCTGTGAGCCAGTGCATCCGGGCCTCAGTCAGGGAATAAAACAGCTGGCAATGTGCGTTCTCAGTGGAAAAAAACAGATTGATCTGGGCTTCCCCAAAGCGCGCTCATATCAGCTGGACCGAATCAGGGTGGAGTCTCCACTCTCCTCAGGACACTAGCTGCCGTGAGAGCACATCGGCTGCACGGTTGAGCTCGCCCGGAATGTGGATGGCAGGCAGCGATTTCAGCTGTATGTGACTCCAAAGGAGCAGACAGCGAGCGAGCTGAGAAATGCGGCCGGAGTGTATACCCCCATACAGTGGATATAAGCCACCATCTCCATGCTGTCCATCCTGACCAGCATGTACTTCTGCTCCAGCACCGATAAAAAATGGTAGAGCCAGATACGCTGCCAACAGCTCCAGCGTTGATATGCCAATGCAGGCGGGGTCCGGACAACGAACCCGAGGCTGCATGCTCGTTGCACACGGCCCCCCAGCCCATGCTGGAGGCGTCTGTCGTTACGACAACATGCCTGGATACTAGCCCTAGGGGACTCCGGCCCCTAGAAAACAGATCTGTCCAGGGGCTGAGAGTGCAGAGACACAGCAGAGTGATGTGCACCCGATGTGTACCTGGGCTCCATGCCTGTCTGGGGACTCGATCGCGAAGCCAACGCTAACGTGGTCTCATATGAAGCAAACCGAGCGGTATAACCGTGGCTGCGGATGCCATATGCCCCAGGAGCCTCTGAAAACATTTGAGTGGGACAACTATCTTCCTGTAAAGCTCGTTTACACAGGAAAGCATCAGCCTGGCGTGCTCCCCGGAGAGGCGCACAACCATAGCGACCGAATCCAGCTCCAGCCTGAGATAAGAGATCCTCTGCACAGGGCAAAGTTTGCTCTTCTTTCGGTTGACTTGAAACCCCAACTGGTCGAGGTGCCGAAGCACTTTGTCTCTGTGCATAATCAGCTGATCGCGAGACAAGGCTTCCCTTGCTCACGTGGGGTTTCCCCGGTTCTTTGGTTTCCTCCCACAGTCCAAAGAACACGCACCCTAAATAAATTAAACACACAAAATTGATACCATATTCAAGCACTTAGCGAGTACACCTCTCCTCAGTCTTCCATATCCATAACTTATGGCTCGTTTCCACTGACTGGTACAGTACGGTACAGTTTGGGTCGGTACGGATCACCTTTATCAGGCTTGCATTTCTACTCTTTTGGTGGGCGTGGTGTATGACAAAAAAAGTTTCAGTCAACATCATTTTCGCTCTAGAAAATGTCTACATTAAAGCTGTATGGGTCGCTTACATGTCATATGAGAAGCACTTTTCACAATACATGTTTTTGTATAAATGTTTATTACTAACTTTTCTATGAACATGAGTTCATTATAAGTGCAGATCAATGACAGTGCAAAAAAGCCTACTGTAATGTCAAATTATATAAAATAAATAAATAAATGCAACATATATGAACACATACAGTACAGCCCCTTACATTTAGTCTTTATTTAGGTTAAAAAACAACACAAAATATAGCCCACAGTAAGTGCAGACCTCTCATCTGTGTCTTTAATTTTCAGCAGCACATGTAGCCTCTGTTAGACAGTAGTTCCATCATTCTCTGTTCATAAAATAATAGTCCAAAAGGTAATAATAAAAGTCAAACATAGCAATTCACATTTGCTGAAAAAATAATGTGCACCTTTTTTTCTGGCTTCTGTCTTTTTTTCTGTTTTTTTCCGCGTGTCACTCTCACGTTTGTCAGCTTCTGACAGGATCGGGTTTCAAAAGCATGTCAATAATCAAGTGCACTTTATTATCATGAGCTCAAGAAGTTTGTTATTTCAGATATAGACGCGCACAAGCAAGAAAGCGAAACC